AGGAAAAATAGATAAGCAGGAGGGAGAGAGGAAAGAAGGCAGGCAGGTAGTCGGGAGGGAGGTGAAAAGGAAGGAAGGAAGGAAGGAAGGAAGGAAGGAAGGAAGGAAGGAAGGAAGGAAGGAAGGAAGGAAGGAAGGAAGGAAGGAAGGAAGAAAAGGGGAGGAGGAAAAATAGATGATTATTTTTAGCTCAGGGTTGACCTGTGGGGTTCGTAAGTGCTAGGAGGGAGGGGGGGGCTGTGTAGAGGAGGAGGACTTGGGGAGGTGTCCCTTGGTGCTCACTGAGCTTGGTGGCTTCCTTGCAGATGTTTCATGACCCAACTAGGGAACATCATCAGTGATAGAAGGGTGGGGGGCTTGTGGAAGGAAGAAGACGGGGTGAACACTTAGGCAAGAAAAACCCAAAGGACACATACAGACCGGGTGAAAACAGGCTCAATAGCAGGAACTGGGAGAGGGATCTTGGAGTCTTAGTGGACAACCAGCTGAATAGGAGCCAGCCGTGTGCAGCAGCCGCCAAAAAAGCCAGTGCAATCCTAAACTGCATTAACAGAGGGATACAATCAAGATCAAGGGAGGTACTAAGACCCCTCTATGAAGCCTTAGTAAGGCCACACCTAGAGTCCTGCATCCAGTTTTGGTCCCCACGTTATAAAAAAAGATGTTGAGACTCTAGAAAAATACAGAGAAGAGCAACCAGGATTATGAGGGGACTGGAGACTAAAACAAAAAGAAGAAGATTAAAATAACCTCCAAGATTATTTTAAAGAATTAAACGGGAGTTGTTGAATTTGTCCCGCTGGGGCGAGAGTTGCCCCCCTTGAGCTTGGGTTGGCCAAGATGGAGCAGCAAACGGCTGCACCGCGTGACCCTGAGATGAGATCAGGGGGTGCTCCGAAGAGGAGAAGGAGCAGGGAGGGAGGGAGGGAGGGAGTGGGGGGGGGGGGGGGGGAGCCAGGGAGGAAAAACCGAATGCCGGACTCTCAAGGACTCCGGCTAATTAGCTCTGGAGTCCTGAGGAGAGAAAGGACAAAGAGATTGGAAGAGGGAAAAGCAGGTCGGCTTCTCTGCTCCCCCCACCCACCCACTGCAGAAGGGCTTCAATTAGCCTGAAGAAAACTCAACACAACGCCTCCCCCCCCCAAATAATCCATGCTTTCTGGTTATTTATTTAGTTCCCTGCTGCTTCTGCTGCATTAGCCGGCCTTGCTCTGCAGGAAGGGAGCTCTCTTCCGGCAGAACCCTTCCCCCAGAGCCCCCTCCCCCCTTTGAGAAAGCTGAGAGCAAGGGCGGGGGAGGGGGGGTGAGCTCAGCCCCCCCCCCCCCCCGGCGGGGGGGGAAGGAAAAGGGGGCCTTTGTGCATGCTGTGTCTTGGGTCTGGGGGCTCTGGCGTCCCATCGACCTCAACAGCAGCTCCGTGTGTTCCGCAGAAATCCTTCCCTCCACTCGGCCGCGTCCCCTTCACAAGCGTGTGTGGACACAAAGGGGCTTTTTTTGGGGGGGGGCGTGAGGGGCATGTGGGAGGCAATTCAGGGGTTGCTGTCCTCTCAGCACCTGCCACAAACTGTCATCTCAGCAGGAAGCTCCTTTCCCACAACAGCAATGTGATTCTACCTGGAGGGGCCCTCGCTGCTCTCTCAGCCTGGCGGTTCTCTTGCCGACGTTTCCCTACCCAACTAGGGAACATCATCAGCGTAGAAGGGAATGGGGTCTGAAAGAGGAGAAAGAGACTGCGCTGCAGAGTCAGCCGGAGGGTTCGCAGATATTTTCAAATCTATCCCTGTCTCAGTGCTCTATCCCCTACCTGCCTGAAGGCATCCATTATAGTGCCAGTCCCTAAGCAGACAGTCGTGGCGTCTCTCAACGATTATAGGCCAGGAGCTTTAACATCTGTTGTCATGAAATGCTTTGAGAGACGGGTGTTGAACTACATTAAGGCTAGTCTCCCATCTACTTTGCACCCGTACCAATCTGCATGTAAGAGTCACAGATCAACTGATGCTGTGCTGTCTAAACAGTTTAATGGGATTTGGGATAGTTAGTTAGGATGTGTGAGCTGTCCCCTTAAGGGAAGGCATCATGGTAAATGGAGTTAAGGCATCCTGGGAAATGTAGCCCATGTCATGTGGTCACATCTGTCATCCGGATTGGTCACTAAATTGACCCTTGGTGGGTCGGGGGAGGTCTCCTTCCCTCTTGCCTGAAACCACCATTACCATGCGGCCGCTTCAATCATCGTGGGGTTGAGACCTTAGGATCTTCCTACACCACAATGCAGATATGCAAAGGATTGGACATTTAAGAAGAACCTCATCATCCATGTGAGTTGACAGGATGCCTGATGAACCAATAAAAAAAGACTTTGTATGGATGCTTTGTGGAGTTTTATCTATCTGCCTTTGTACAGTATTTGTACGGGACAGGCAGAATAGCAGGAAGATAATAAGGTCTCAACCCCAGGATGATTGAAGCAGCCGCATGTCTATTGTTGTCCATATTGTATTGAATCATTTGGAACAACAGGGAACTTACACAAGGCTGTTATTTGTGGATTACAGTTCTACCTTTAACTCCATTCGACCCAAGGGGTTGTTTCTTAAACTATCCAATTTGGGCATAGATCACGAGATTTGTTTGTGGATAAAGGGTTCTCCGACCGATTGGCCACAGCCAGTAAGGATGGGATCTCACCATTCTTCTACTCTGATGCTAAGCACAGGAGCCCCCCAGGGTTGTGTGCTAAGTCCCTTCCTTTATTCTTTGTACACACAACTGCACCCCATTGTATGACACCAACACAATTATTAAATTTGCAGATGACATGACAGGGGTGGGGCTCATTAATAAGGACAATGAGGCTGCTTATAGAAAGGAAGCACAAGGGCTGACACCGTGGGGTAAAGAAAATAATCTCACACTGAACACCAAAAAAAGAACTTATAGAACTTATAATTGACTTAAAGAACTTATAATTGACTTCTGGAGGAAGAGAGACGTACATTTACCACTGTACATAAATGGTGAGGAGGTGGAGAGGGTGGGTGGTTTTAAATTCCCGGGCGCTTCTATCTCGGAGGACTATGAATGCAAACGTGCTTGTGAAGAAGGCACAGAAGAAGAGGCTGCCCTTCTTGAGAAGGCTCAGGGAGATAAATCTATCTAAGCATCTCCTTCTGTCCTGCTACCATAGCACCACTGAGAGTGTCCTGACATACGGCATCCTTGCATGGGATGGGAGCAGCTGTGGAGCGGACAAAAAAAGGCTCTACAGAGAATCATTCAAACTGCCCAGAATATCAATCGGGCTCCAGCTACCAGCCCTGGGCGACATCTTTGCCTCTCGCTGTTTGAGGAAGTCACACAACATTCTCAGAGACTCTTCCCATCCTGCTCACAATCTTTGTGAAGCTGTTGCCTTCTGGCAGGAGATACAGAACAATTAAAACTTGGACCACACGTTTCCTGAACAGTTTTGATCCCAGAGCTATAGTGGGACTTAACAATGAACTTAAGGACCACCATCAGTGAGCTGGTCTGTTGTGTGGATGCTTGTGTGTTTTTAGGGGGCGGGGAATTTTGGCGGGTGTGTGTGTGTGTGTGTGTGGGGATTGTCATGTGTGTGTGCATGTTGAGTCTGGTCTCTGGGTGTTATGTGAATTTCGTTGTATGTTTATACTTTGTTTATTCATACAATGACAATAAAGAATTCAATTCCATTCAAAAAGGGAAGAAGTGGAGGAGGAAGAGGAGGAGGATCGTGGAGTTATTCAAGGTCCTCTCTGAGCTTGGTTATGTTCTTGTACACGTTTTTGCTACCAAACTAGATAACATCATCAGTGCTGGAAGGGAGTGGGGTTTATGGAGGAGGGGGAGGAAATTTGTGGGGTCCTTGGTGCGCTCTGAGCTTGGTTGTTTTCTTGCAGACGTTTCATGACCCAACTAGGGAACCTCATCAGTGGTGGAAGGAACTGAGGTTTGTAGAAAGGGAGAGAGGAGGACTTTTCATTACCCAAACTACAAAACATCCTGAGTGCTAGAAGGGAGAGGGTTTCACTGAGAGGAGGAGGAGGAGGAGGAGGAGGAGGAGGAGGAGGAGGAGGAGGAGGAGGAGGAGGAGGAGGACTGTGGATCCTTGGTGCTTCCTGAACTTGGTAGTTTTCTTGCAAATATTGAGTGAAGCCCAGGACAAAGAGGAGAAGAAGGAAGGAAGGAAGAGGGAGTCAGAGGGAGAGGGAGGAGGAAGAAGAGAGTACAGAATCAACCTTGGGGATCCTCCCAGCCCAGCCTGAAGCAGGGGACCCTCGACCATTCCAGACAGGTGGCTCTCCAATCTCTTCTTCTTGGAAACCTCCATCCATGGAGCCCCCTCACCTCCTGCAAGCCGGCCGCCCCTGTGCTCTCCAGAAATCCCGCTTCCACCTACGATTGGGGCTTGCCCCCCCCTCCCTCCCCCCCCCCCCCCCCCCCCGCCCATGGCCTGTGCCTGCCGTCCCTCACACACACCCTGCTTCACCTGAGCATGAGGTTCATCAGCTGCAGCCCTTCGCCCTTCAGGAAGCGATCCCGGTTGGAGCTGAGCATCAGCGAAGAGCAAAGCGAGTCGAAGAGGTTCTCCATCATCTCCTCCTCCTCGGCGGGGCCCGGGTTGTGCCGCTTGAACACCTGTCCCAAGGGGACACAGCGGGGGGGGGGGGAGTCATCAGCTGGCTTTCCCCCGGGACTTCCCCCCCACACCTCCCCATTTCGTGGCAGCCCCTGAAATACTGGACGGCTCCCCATCACGTCCCCCCCGGGTCCTTCTTGGCCTTGAAACGAGACATGCCCCAGTCACGCAACCCTGCTGGGCAAACGGGAGGAACTGGGCTGAGGAAGATTTATGTGAAGGAAATATGCACAGAACTGCTAAGGAATCTCAGTCCTTCCGCTCCCCCACCATTCGGCCAGAAGCGAGGAAGCTTCCTGGGTGAGAAGCGAAACGTCTTCAGGGAGGGGGGGGGAATCAAGGAAGTCCAGCTGCTTTTTGGAAGGAAAAAACAAAAAACCCACCTTTGGGACTTGCAGGCAGGAGCTGGCCTTGCATGGGACCCCCTTTCGACAGGCTGGCTGGGCGGCCCTGCTGCGTCACCCCCTTATCTTCCCACTGGATGGTGTCCTTGGGGCGGCCTTGCCTGACCAGCTGCAGGAGGAGGCGGGGAGGGAGCCCCCCCCTCCCCTGGTCTTCCCATCAGATGGCTCTTGGGGCAACCTTGCTGGGGGTGGGGGAGAAGGAGTCTGCCTCCCCCTTTTTCTTCCCACTGGAGGGCTCTTGGGGCAGTCCTGCCAGGGAGGAGGGAGTCTGCCCCCCATTACCAACGCTGCTCCTGAGCTGGGCAGTCGATCCCCAAACACTCTGGACCAAAGCCCAGCAACCCAAAGAGCTTGAACTGCAAGGCAGACCCTCCCAAGGTCTCCTCCATGCCACGGGCACCCTGTGGACACACGGGGGCTGGGGGGAGGATGCCCGGCCCGGAGACAGACAAGCCCTCTGCCCCCCCCTCCAGCTCAGAGTGAGGGGGGGGTGTCACGAAATCCAAGGGAAGCCACTTCCAGGTACTGAGAAGCAGGGAGGGAGGAGGCCGGGCCCCCTGGCAGCTTCTGGCCGAAGAGGATCCCGTCCCAGGGAGTCTCAACTTATGACCTCAGCTGGGAGCAGAACGGCCGTCGCTGAGCAAGGCGGCTGTGATGGGAGTCGCGCCCAAGAGGAGGATCCCTTTTGCCAGGGTTACTAACCAAACCCCTGAAAGTTAAAGTCAATCCGGGCTTCTGCCATGGACTTTTGTTATTTTAATTTTGAAATCCGTTTCCCACCCAGCTCCTACCCCACAACTCTGGGTGGCACATGCAGCATGAAAGGAACATGGAGGAAAGGGTTCAACAAGTTGCAAGCGGATTGAGTTGTTTAAAGAAAACGTTTTGGAGGGCTCGTTTCGCGAGGGGCGGCAGCGAATATTGTAATAATATAATCGTCAGTCTTCAACCAGAGGGGGGAACGATATGTGTGCAATGTTGTTGGTTTTTTCATGCACCTTTTGAATGCTTTGATTGTTTTGGGTGTTTTGTTCCTTCTGTTCCCCTTTTGAATCTTCTTTTTTGTTTTTTTTTGAGTTCTGTGTTCTGCATTTTAACTTTGTTTTGAACCAAACGGAAAACATCTAAAGAAAAGCACTAAAAACCCCCATGGAAGTCGGGCTCCGCGGGAACGCTGGGGGGGGGGGGGGGTCAGAAGCCAGCTGGACCCTGGGATGCCAGTCTGTCAAGCCCCCAAATTCTGATCATGTCCCAGGCTGGCCTTTAAGTCGCCTTTTTTTCCCCCAGCACCGTCGTAACTTCCGACGGTCACTGAACAAGCAGACATACGTCAAGGACCACCTGAAAATGCTCCTCGCGGATCCTTCCTGGGCTGCGTGAAGCAGGTGGGCTGCAGCCCCCACCCTGGGTCTCAAAGCCTCTGCCCATCGCACCTGCTCCCCTCCCCTCCCCCCGGCTGAGCCCTCCCCCCCCCTTCTCCCCCCCCTCCAGCCCCCTCTCAGGCCAAGCTAGAGGGCAGCAAATCACTCACCGACAACTGCTGAAGCAGGACGTCGATCCCATCCAGCTCCCCCAGCATCTCCCGGTTGTCTGCAGGAAGGAAGGAGGAGAGGGGGGTCAAAGGTCAGCTCTGACAGCCCCCCCCCCCACTCCCAACCCAGCAAAGGAGAGGAGGGGGCACAAGCCAGATTTGACAGCTACCTCCCAGGTCAATCTCAGCTTCTAAAATCGATAGGGCTGGCCAGAGAGGTGGGAGGGGGATTGAGGGGGGGGGGGGGCCGGGCCCGCGCTGCGGAGGGCGGGGGGGGGGGGGGGTGGGGAGGGGTGCCCAGCCAATGCCAACCCTCTTTGTGTTTTCAAGGGACGATTCACACCCTGGTCAGTGCCTTTTCTCACTTTGGCCATCGGGAAGACGGCACAAAAGCACGGCCAGCCGGACAAAGAGGTTTAAAAAACAGCTTTCATCCGTGGGCTGTCAAGACTCCCAAATACAGCTACAATCACTCCATGCATACGTGGAAACGTGTTACTAATTACTTGCATAAGGACCATTTTCTATAATATTAGGTGTGTTGTATTATACCATCCTTATGGACAGCACCAGCAGGAGCAAAATCGATTTCACTGTATATATGTAGAATGATAACAAGTCCCTTGTTGTTATTGTTGTTGTTATTCTTTTTATCATCATCATCATCATTTTATTCATCACACGGTCAGTCAGATGTTCAGACTGGGTTTGGCATTTCTGTCGACCTATCGAGTCCTTCCTAAGGACCGGCATGCAAAACTGGATGTTTGATGGCGTTACAGAGATCGCCGCAGGATGGAAGCTGTTCCAAGCAAAGCTGCCCTTCTGCAATTGACCGGTGGCAAATCGGTCAATGCCACGGATGGTATTCAAGTGGTGCTCCAGTTGTTTTGGGGCCGCACCCAGGATGCCTATGACTATTGGTACCACCCTTGCTTGCCTTTGCCATAGTCGTTCTATTTCTGTTTGTAGGTCTTTTTCATTTCATTTATCTTCTCCTGTTCTTTCTCTTCTCTTCTGCCGTCTCCAGGCATGGCCACATCCACTATCCGGACTTTTTTTGTCTTTCTTGTCGACAACCGTTAAGCCCAGGGTGTTATGTGGCAGGTGTCTGTCTTTCTGGATTCTGAAGTCCCAGAGCAATTTAACTATTTCATTTTCCATGACCCTTTTCTATTTTAGGGTCCCGGGCAAATGATATTTCTTGCAGATCTTCCAATGGACCATTGTTGCTACTTTGTCGTGCTGCTGCTTGTAGTCAGTTTGTGCAATCCTCTTGCAGCAGCTCACCAGGTGGTCCACTGTTTCTTCAGCTTCTTTGCATAGGCAGCACTTCCTGTCTGTTCCTGTCTTCTCCATTCTGGCTTTGCATACATTTGTCATGCCCCTGTTGGAATCTGATTCCGAGGCAGAGGCCGAGCAGCTTACAGGGAGTGGGAGTGTAGCTCCGGTGGCTGTGGAGGAAACTGGGGAAGGGCCCAGGCTGGCTGGGCATTCAGAGGAAGGCCCAGGGCCACCCCCTCTTCATCCTAGGGCACGCAGGGAGGAGCGGAGAAGGGAGCAATGTGAGTTACGGGGGAGAAAAAGGCCCTGATTCCCTTCATTAGCTGCAGCTGGGAAAACAGGATTTAAAAAGGGCGTTTGCGCACAGCACCTTGCTGGAAGCAAAGCATGAATTATCTTTGTCTGTCAAGTCTTATATGGGTTCTGGCATCCTCGCAACTGTGTGTGTTTCATTATCTTTTGAAGTCTGCAATTCCTTATCCTGGCCTGTCTCGTTAATTGCTGCAGCGTGGTTTGTGTTGGTTTTTATTTATAATCTATATGTACTTTGGGTTCGGACTGAATTTCTTCCCTTTAAAAACTGTTCTTGGGAGAAGGCTTTTTTCTCCAGCTGATGATAACTGGACACTGGGGGCCAAGTTGGAGGAATTAAAGAGACTTTACCTACTTTTGTGACTTGGTTGCTTTTGTGCCACGCCCCTTTGGGTCATCGCACATTTGTCCTTAAGGCTTGGTCTTGCGCAGCCAGAATTAACCCCTCGGTCTCTTTCTTTAACTTTCCTGCACTTATCTATTGCCAGGTCTTGTTATTGTCTGCTTTCCCTGTTATTTTTTTTAAAAATGTACTGGCCATGTAGTGCTTTGTCTTCCCATGGCTCCGTTCTGTTCCTCATTTGGTCTTTCTTGTAGGCCAGATGGTGGTGTTGTTGTTATCATTATTATTATTATTTTGACACTGGACGGACTGGACAGCCAGTTGTCCAGAATGGTATGTATGCTAAGGAGGTCCAGTCTTAGGAACTTTTAAGACTTCTGGACTTCAATTCCCAGAATTCAACACCACCTGGGGAATTCTGGGAGTTCCTACAGGTCCTAAAGCCGCCACAGTTGGCCACCCCGCCTTAAGAGGAACCGTCAGAGAAAATCTGCCCATGGCTCACCTTCAGCCTCTTAAGAAGCCACTGCATGAGGCCCTGCTGGGCGGCATCCGCACACACCTCCGGCCGAAACTCCGCCATGTTCTCAATGATAGCTTTGAAGAGGATTAAGAGGTGGGGGGAGAGAGAGAGAGAGAGAGCACAGAAGACACTTATCGGTGCTGAATTTCCAGAGATTTCACAGTCACGAGCGTTATCTTAGCAGGCTTCCCAACGCGGCAGCGTTCCCTACAACAATGTTCCTCGACAATGTTGGCGTGGACTTCAACTCCCAGAATTCCCCAGCCAGCCCTGGTTGAGAAACATTGCCCTAAGACATGGACCTCTGGCCTGGGGCGATGAGAGCCCGGTCATGCCTTGAGAGGCCCAGGCTGCTGGAGATGGGTTCCTCACTCTTGTTCGCACACCCTTGCCTGGAAGTTGAGTCATGGCAACTGGACTTCCAGACAAGCTTCACTGACGTATCTCCACCCCCCCGTTGTCATGCTTCTCTCTTCGACTTATTGTCCATGAATATTGTCGATTCATAAACAATGCAAAAGAAACACGAGGAGAATATATCTGTAGTAGCTATTGAGATCCTATAGATGGCGCTAGCACTAGCAGCAAACTGCAGTGTCTATAAACCTATGTAGGGCCTCTTGGCTACTTGCATGATCTCATCCTCTATCTGTTGGGTTGGAAAGTCCTGGACTTTCCAGGCTTATAGGTGATCTCATTTTACTAACATCATCGCTAGTCTTAAGGATTGGTTGGGAGGTTTTGCCCATGTAGCATCTATTCTCCAATCCAGATGCTGTTATCTATGTTGCCTTTGTCTTCTTGTAAAAACCCTATAAATGTAATAAAGGCTGCCCATGCAGTCAGACATCTTGGCACCCTGCACGATGGCTGGTCTTTGAAATCCATCCTATATCAAGATGATAACCAAAGAGACGGATGGAGAGCAGAGAGCTGGAAGGAAGGAGGGGGACTCTACCATCAACCCAGCAGCCTTTCCCCAGGCTCTTGGAAGGTAGGAAGTCTAGGAGGATACGGGAAGATTTCACCTTAGAGGGCAAGAGACTGCTTCCCCTTCCAATGGGCACCCAACTTACCCAGAGTATTATGGACGCCGTCCGCCTCTTCCTTGACGCTTTCATCCAGACGCTCCAGATTCTGCACCAACAATGCAACCACCTGCCCGTCCACCTGGGCCAAGGAAAAGAAAGAGAGAAAGGGCAGAGCCTGTTAAGTGTTTGCAGCAATCCAACCAGCACACAAGTAAACAATTCAGCAGGATTCATTTATAGAAGAAATTTCTTTATATACAATAATACTGTATATAATATTACAGGGCCAGCACCAAGGAGGCTCATTTCAATTTCACTGTACACATGTTGTGCATTGACAATAAACGTTTGTTTGATTGACTGATAATATACAGTATGAGGCATGCATACAATACCCATGCAGCAGAGGACAGAACCAGAAGTCTTAATCCGGAAGTCGTAATCACAGAAGCTATATACACAGAAGCAAATCAACTCTTACATACAGTTCCTTTAGTTTTAGTTTACTTTATTCCCATTGCACCTCGTACAATGAAATCAAACACCATCTCCAGTGCACATCATGACCAGGACCATGAAAATAAACACATACAGAAAATATACAGAACTAAGCCACGCCCAGGCTCCGAGCCGGCTGGCATGGTTCACAACAGGTACTGTTTCTTAGTCACCAAACAGTTCCTGTTGGCTGGTTTGTTGTTGTGGCTATCCCAGCTCATAATTTCCCATATGGAGACAAGAGTCAGGGCAAGTAGGCTGGAGAAAGGAAAGGCCCCTACACTGGCAGACGGCAAGCAGCCAAACACAGCAGAAACCAAAATGGCTGCCACCGAGGGACGCTTTGATTAGTAAAACGGTCTTTCGGTCAAAACTTTGATCCCCCGTTGGACAACTTATGCTCCAAAGCACCTGAGGGCAGGACAAGAAGTAACGGGGGTGGGGGTGGGGAGATAGTTAAAGAGAGATGCAACCTGGAAGGAAGGAGAAATTAGTACCACTCTGTAATGTCTCGGTAAGCCCATGCTTGGAATATTGCATCTACTTTTGGTTGCTGCAATATATAAAAAAAGAGGTTGATGCGTGAGGGGCCTTTCGCTTTTATATATATATAGATGCATTACATTGGTATGCCGTCCATCTCACTGTTGGAAGAGACTCTGGGCAGCTTACAACATGACTAAAAAAAAAAAAAGAGGCAATATCACATGATTAAAATTAAGAAAGATTAAATAAAGACCAAAAGCTACCCACCAGCTTCCTCCCGGCATACAGTACCCTTAGAAAGGACTCCAGCCCAGCTGGCAGAGCCAACTTTTTAAGACTCTCCTTTTTTATTATTTATAAGAATTTAGAAAATTTATAAGGCTGCCCACTCGCCCTCTGTGACTTTGGGCAGCTTACAATTTTTTTTAAAAAAAACCAAACCAATATACAAGCATAAAACCAATAATAACTATGCACCACTCAGAGCCGTTGGTGGGAGAAGGGCAGTTATACCAACTTAACCAATAAATAAATAAATGGGGAGTGAAGGATTGTAAGGCAGTCAAATCAGGCAGAAGAGCAAATTAACTTGATTCAGGGAAAGCCTCCAACTTCTGTTCAGGAATATAAAGGATTTGATCTGCAAAGCCGGCGGGGGGAGAAACGCTTTGTGCTTCCTCCAGCAAGCAGTTTATTGACCGCTCAGGAAAGGTCAGCTGGACTGCTGCTGGCTGTGCACAGTGATGGCCGAGAAGGAAGGGCTTTGCATCTGCTGATGGGACAAGCACCGTGAGCTTTGGTGTCAAGCAGGAAGGCCACCTCTCCTGGGGACCCGCCCTGCTAAAAGATGAAGCGAAAGATCCCTCCTTTTGGGGGCTTTTGGGAATCGATTGGAAAGGGAGCTCTGAAGTGGGAAAAGGGGGAAAGAGAAGCGATGGGATCCAGGCCAAGGAGTCAAAGGGGAAGGAAATATTCAGGCTGATCGAAAGAGTCTTCGTGATTGATCGATTGATCGAAGAAATAAATAAGCAAGTAAACAGATCTGGGAGAGGGGAGGACGGGCTAGCTTGCAAAGTTCAAGGTGGGAGTCAAATCTATATACATATAAGCAAAAGACCCCTCAACGCATCATCACAAAATCTCCAGCCTACAAACTTGAAATTGGGCACGTTATGTTCCTCTTGGCTTCTAGGGGCTCACTAAGAAAGGATTTTTCCAAATGTCCCTCAGACAATTTAGAGTATTTCCTATATTATTATTATTATTATTATTATTATTATTATTATTATTATTATTATTATTATTATTATTATTATTATTATTATTATTAACACACTCTGATGCTAAAGAGTTCTGCTCCCCCTCCCACCTGAAAAGAAATCTCTTCCAAAGGCAAAACACAAAAGCAGAGAGGAATTTCAGTTTCAGTTTCAGAGCAGCACCAAGCAGCTTTAGTACAGAACAGTTGAGCTAAGCCCCGCCTAGTCTCCTTGCTGCCTCCTTCTTGCTCACGCAGCAAATACTCTTTCAGTTTCCAAACAGCCCTTCAACTCTCTCACACACTGACAGGACGCTCCAGCCTGGCTGGAGAATTCTGGGAGTTGAAGTCCACAAGTCTTATAAAAAAGTGGCCAAGTTTGGAGACCTCTCTGCCTTAAATGAATCTCATGGCGGTCTAACTAGACGTCATTGGCAAAAGCCTGAAAGAATAATTCGTCCAACTGAGCTGAGAGAGAGAGAGAGAGAGAGAGACAGAGAGAGTGTGTGTGTGTTTATGTGTGTCATTATTTCCATCAAAGAAAGGAAAACCTTTCAGCCCCTCTGGCTCAAAGCCGGACAATCAAAGGCACTCGAATAAGCCGCAAGAAAAGAGCCGAGAGAAAAAGGGGTTTTTCTCTGGGTTTATTGCTTCCCTGGGCGAGAGATTCAGGACGCTTCACCTTCTGTGCTTCTATTCTGTGGGCAAGCGGCAGAGCGGCCTTCAGGGCAACTGCCATTAACCTCTGGAAGGTAACACAATGGCACGCCCAGCGCTGAAGGCCGCCACGTGGGAGCCACGAGAATCTTCGCCCCGCTCCGAGTTGAACTGGGGGAGGGGCGGGTGGAGTCCCTGGGGGCTCTCTGAGCCTCGTGGCTTCCCTTCACCACCCAACTATCATCCCTGCGAGGGAGGGAGGGAGGGAGGCTGTGGAGGGGAGGAGGAGGACTGTGGGGCCCTTGGTGCTCTCAAGAGTTGGTGGTTTCCTTGCAGCTGTTTCACCACCCAAACTAGCAACAGTGTTGGGAGGAAGTGGGCTTTGTGGAGAGGAGGAGGAGGAGGAAAATAGACACTTTGGTGCTGAGATTAGTTGTCATCTTGAGACATTTCATGACCCAACTAGTTAACATCATCAGTGCTAGAAGGGAGGGAGGTTGCAAATAGGAGGAGGGGGGGTGGGAGAAGGAGGAGAACTATGTATGAGGTCCCTGGTGCTCTCTGAGCTTGGCTGTTTTCTTGCAGACATTTCATGACCCAACTAGGGAACATCATCAGTGCTAGAAGGGGGGGAGGAGGAGGAGGAGGAGGAGAACTATGGGGTCCCTGGTAATCTCTGAGCTGGGTTGTCTTCTTGCAAATGTTTCATTACCGAACCAGGGAACATGGTCAGTGTTGGGGGCGCTTGTCCAGAGGGCTCAGGACTCCCCCCAAAGGGATGTGGGGCCTCTACAAAGAATCTCCCTTTGCTTTCAAGGCTTTGACCCACAGCCCCAGCCAGAGATGCCACCAGGTGCTACTTACCAAGGCGTCTATGAGGACCCCTGCCCCTTCCTCACTCTCGTGCAGGGTGTCGATGTCCGTGAGCTCCTGCAGAAGGTCCACCACCGCGATGGCGACATGTAGGGGTTAGGGTTAAGGCAAAGCAGCAGAACCTCCTTCCCAGCAATTAGGGGAGCAGGGGGCCTCCAAAAGGGACCCCCCCCCAAAAAAACGTCTGCGCGGATCAATGCCCTTCAAAAATAACCGCTGGGCCTTCCAAAGCAATTGAGCAATTCTTGAAAGAATGCAAGCTACCATCCACCTCTGAAGGACCTCCATCTTCTTCAAGCGTGTCTGAAGACACAACTCTCCCTCCACCAGGCTCCTGGGGGTCGGGGTCGGGTTAAGGTCTTGGGATTTAAGAGCAGACCAGAAGTGAAGCTGTTAAAATACAGGCTGATGCAATAAGAATGACTCAGCCTAACATGGATATGTCCCTTTAAGACTAGGGATGGGTTCTATCCCTTTAAGAGGCGTTTATATAAAGGCAGACTTTAGAGGGCGTGACCTCTCTCCTTGTGTATTCATTGCAATACCAGAGTTCTCCATGTTAAGAGTTAAGCAGTTGGCTTACTTGTAAGTTATTTTGCCTACCCCATATATGTCTGCATATAACTGTATTGTATATAAACCACAGTTAAATGTCTGTGTGCTGTGCTTTGCTCCTGGGTTGTCTATAATAGCGGTCACGCTGCAAACGCTCTGACAGGGGGACACGGATGTGCGCCAAAGGTTGGTGAGAGCTGATCCCTCCAAGGGATCCATTCTGCACCCTTTTTCCTATTCTGCTTGGATCACTGTGGACCACCTAAAACCAGTGGCCTTATCAACACCATTTCCCAATCAATCAGTCAATGAAAGTCAACCTCTAGGCCTCTCCATCTTCCGAGGCCAGTTTTGGTGAATCCGTTACTAGCCAGGCTAATGTCCAGGGATGTGGGGCCACAGGAAGCTTTTCAAAACTGCTCAACAGCTGGGGAGGGGGGGGCAATTCCTTCCCCCTCCCCCACCTTTTTGAGAGACAGTAATTCTCAGGGATATGCAGTTGTCAACGAGAGCCCCACGCTTTTTGACAAGAATGAGAGCAATAATTATCTAATAGTGACAAGCCTTCTGCAAAATTGGCTAGGGGTGTCCCCCCTTGTCAACTTTTAAGGCTTGGGGACTTCAACTCCTAGCATGGAATTCTGGGAATGGAAGTCCACAAGCCTTCCAGTTGAGAAAAGTTGAGCAGTTCTGGTCTTAGGGTCAAGATTCCCACTGGAGGTTGGACACAAGACTCAAGTCCCCAAGTCTTAAAGCTGACACGGTTGGAGGCCCCTGGTTTAGGGCCACAATTGCCATTTCCTAAGTTGCCTGCTCTCTCGCTAGGAGGTCTCTGTCGAGATTCTCCATCCTCAAGTCACGGTTGTCCCAAAGGTGCTTTTTTTTATCCAAGAAGCAACTGGACCTCCTGGTTTTTCTTTGAAGACGTTTCGCTTCTCATCCAAGAAGCTTCTTCGGCTCTGACCATCCACCATCCAGTCTTCACCATCCAGCCAGAGCTGAAGGAACTTCTTGGAAAGTCCAGTTGCCACTTGGGAAGAAAAGCTAGGGAGGAATTGCTGAAGCTGTGGACAAACCTGCCATAAACAGCATCCGTGCAAAACTCCAGGGCTGCAAAAACCACCTTGATGCTAATAACTGGAGAAGAGACAGACTCATAATAAAGCTGCAAGCAATTAACAAAGAAATCTGGAAGAAAATTAACATGCGATGCACTTAAGAGTGCGCTGCCCTATTTCTACTCATTAACCTCAGAGGCCGTTCCTCTAACCGCAGCCCCGTCTCGCTCATCCGAGACTTATGGGGTCCTCTCCGGTCACTTTTGACCTTGGGCGCCCAGATTCTGAAATGTCCTATATCACAGCTCTTCTGAGGGCCCCTTTGAGATGCACCAAAGACACCTTTGTTGATGTTCTTCTCCATCCTCTGCCTGGCATCCAGGACACCGAATAACAGGGCTTGGAAGAAATTTGGAGATCTTCTAGCCCAGGGGTCTTCAAACTTGGGCAGCTTTAAGATTTGTGGACTCCCAGAATTCCTCCTCCTCATCAGGTTAGCTCAAGAATTCTGGGAGTTGAAGCCCTCAAGTCTTAAACTTGCCAAGTTTGAAGGCCCTTGGTCTAGTCCAGTGATGGCTAACCTATGACACGCGTGTCACTCGTGACACGCCGAGGCACTTTGACTGACACGCCTGTTGGTGTGGGGAAAACCTGCACATTTAGAGGCTGCCTGTGCTCTGCTCCAATCCCTGCTCCCTGCTTGTGGCGTGGTGTCACCGCTGCCGCGAGATCTTTGCAGCAGAGAACCAGTTTTAACCGCCATAAACTGAGGTTTGTCAAAAGTTTCATTACCTCAGGAACGCTACAGGAGGAAAGGAGATCCATGAGGTTCACAGCCCTGTAAGGTGGCCTTCCGATCCCCACATCCTGCACCTGCAGCCTTGAGACCAGGGAGACGAGTTTCACAGCCCTGTGTGATCACCCCAGTCCAGTCCATCATAAACATCGCAGGAGGACTGCACCACAACAACCAGACACAGTGCTCACGATATTACCAAAATATTGATAATTCTTGAAGTGACACACGACCCGAGGAAGGCTACACTTTTCCCCGATTTTCAACACACCAAGCTGAAAAGGTTAGCCATCACTGCTCTAGTCCAACCCCCTGCTCACGCATGAGAACCTATTGTCAGGATTCTGGCAGGATTCGTGTCAAGGGTGACAATGGATGATGCGTCTCAGAGTTGGCTAACTGTCAGGATCCCAGCAGTGACCCCCCATTAAATCATGAGCCTCGAGCCAAACTTCCAAAACTTCAAACGGATTTATTGGGAGTTAACATGTTGGCACTGCCTGGGTGAAGCCGACTCTGAGGCACATAATTCACTGTCACCCTTGACCCTGGTTTCCCCCCCCCACCCTCTGGGTACATCGTAATTCCTATTCTCCAATGGGACACATCCTTAGCCAAGAGTCATCAATCAGGGTCTCCAGTGAGAATTTTGCTCAGCAGAAAGTTCAGTCGCCTAGTTCCTATCTTTGAAAACATTGATGGAATGCACTTTTGCTTTTGCAAGCTACTACACTGCTCCCCCCCCTCCCTTTCTGTTGGCAACTCTAAAAGACCATAGAAATATTTTATGAGTTGACACCTATGCCATCTCAGACAAGTGACTGTCCAGTCTCTTCTTAAAAACCTCCAGTGTTGGAGCAGCCACAACTGCTGCAACGGTCGTAAGTGGGGAAAAACGGTCCTCCTACATCGTTTTTTGCAGTGCTCTTGTTATCTTTGAACAATCACTAAATGATCTGTTGTTAAGCTGAATAGTGTCCTTTGAACCATACATCCTATTTCAAAAAAAGATGTTTTGATAAAGGCGCTTGATGCAATATTATTTTATCACCGGGGAGAAAAGTCACTTAATTCGGATGATCTGCTCCCAAATAGCTGCCGAACGAGAAAAACGAATCAATTGGAAGCGAATGAAAAGAGTGAGAGATGCTTTCAGTCACGTCAGCCCACCCCTGGGGGACATCAACAACCCCAGTTTGTTCTTCCTCTCGTCCCGATTCAGAAGACCTGCCAAGCTCCTGTCTGGCAAGATTTGATATCGAAACGCGTCCGTGATGGGCTTGTGCGAATTTGCTTCCTGATCTTTTGATACCCTTTCTTGTCTGTTGTACGCAGCGATAGAAGTGAATTTTAGCAACAAAGAGAAAACGAAGGTTTTTTTTTTCTTTTCTTCTTCTCTCTCTCTTTCTCTTCGGAGAGTGATTTAAAGATAAAAACAGCGGGTTCAAGGCTCCAGGGACAGAGACCTGTCCTCGGGGAAGCGTGATGCTATATGTCAAAACTCTTAAAGCATGTCCTGTAAATTGATATGCCAATGGTGAGACATGCAAGGTGTTTCGTTTCCACATACCCCCCCGAATAGCAATCGTTTGCTCACCATTTATCCTTGGTGTTTCAAACTGTAGCCCTAGGGAGGGAACAGAATAAATTCCTTGGCAGGTTTGAGATCAAGCAGAAAATTCAGCTCTCCGCTCAGCTTGGAAAAGTAACCTAGGATAAGGGAAGGGCTGGTGCGTCGCTTGTCATCACGGCTTCTGGTCCAGCCTTGACTGCCAATGGACCTCTTGGCCCCAGTGATTGGATCCTTGTCTACCAACAAACATCCAGGCACAGGGAGAATAACAGGGCTGGAAGGGGCCTTGAAGGTCTTCTAGTCCAACCTTCTGCTCAAGCAGGAAACCCTATGCCATTTTGGAGAAATGTAGAAGAGTAACTTATCATCCCTTTAAATGTACACTAATTGTGGCAGGCATTAAAATAATGAGATGGCTGTCCAGTCTCTTCTTGAAAGCCTCCACTGTTGCAGCATCCACAACTTCTGGAGGGAAGCAGTTCCACTGGCTAATAGTTTTCACTTTCAGGAAATTTCTCCATAGTTTCAGGTAGCTTCTCTCCTTGATTAGTTGCCATCCATTGCTTCTCCTCCTGCCTTTTGTTGCTTTGGGAAATAGATTTGACCCCTCTTTTCTCTGCGACAGACCCTCAAATATTGCAAGTGTGGTGTCGTATCATCCCTACGTCTTTATTTCAGTAGACTAGATATCCAATTCCTGCAACTGCTCTTTGTATGTTTCAGCCTCCAGTCCTCTAATCCAGTGGTCGCCAACCAGTGGGCCGGGGACCACTGGTGGACTGTGAGAAAATGTTGGTGGTTCGCAGAGAAATGTCCCCCCCAAAGCAATTAATCCAGGCTGCGCAGGAACACAAGACTGCACCGTCCACATGGCCCACAGGAACAGAATTGCGTCGCTTGCATTGCGAACAACACGAGGTAGTGAGGGGAGGGGGGAAAGGGAGGAGTGGGTGAACTTGCCCCACTCGCCCCACACACCTGGCCTGGCCACCCGGCTGCTTCTTTCTGCTTCTTCTTTTGCTTCTGGCTGCATGCAAGGAAAGCAGCCAAAGTCTTTCTTTCTCCCCCCCAAACTCCGCCACAAATGAGACTTTGGGACCCTGCAAGGCCTCCTGCTCCAAGAGGCTGCACCAGCAAAGACTCATTTCTGGTGGAGTTTGAGGGAGAAAAAAGACAGACTTCTGCTGCTGCTGCTGCTTTCCTTGCATGAAGCCAAAAGTCTCTCCTCTCTCTCTCTCCCCCTGAGAACGGAGCTGGAGACGGTATCCTGCGATCCCAAATAAAGAACGATCGATCGGTAGGAAAAGGGGGTGGGGGGATTTTCCTGCAGATTTTTTGGGCATGTTCCCAGGGTCTCTGGTCCAAGGGATTTAAAAGTATGAGCTGGGTGGTCCCTGAGGTCGAAAAGGTTGGCGACCCCTGCCCTAATCATCCTGGTTGCTCTTCTCTGCGCTCTTTCTGGAATCTCAACATCTTTTCTGTATCATGGCAACCAAAACTGGATGCAGGATTCCTCGTGTGGCCTTACCAAGGCCTTATAAAGAGGCACTCTGGCCAATGCTCATTGTTACCCCAGATTCATCACAGCTTCTCATGGCTGACGGGGACAGAAGCGGTCGTATTTTCTCTTCTTCAAGGCTGCCACTAGCAAGACCTCCATCATTCATGTCCCTCTGCGTGACCGGCCCATCCTAGTCAACCTTTTAACAAATGACATGGCGCCGAGGCTACTGAAGCCTTCAAAAAAACCTTGAGGGGGGGAAGGAACTTTCAAGGCCACAGAGCTGCTTACGCAGAGGAAATATTTCCAGATACATTTTCTCCTGGTCTGCGGCTGCTGCTGTTTTCCTAAACTGAACGAGGAGCAGGTGGATTTGCAGAGAAAAGCATTGCATAGTTGGAAGCTCAAACCAGCAAAAGCAGCCACGAAAATCCCCCTTTCCCCCCACCTCTGAACTGGGGGCCCAGTTGGATGGTTTCAGCTTGATGATGATGATGATGATGTTCTCCATTCAATTGTGGCTGACTCTTGGTGATTTTGTGGGCGGGGGGGGAGGGGGGGCTCTTCATATCCTCCCACCTTGAACGAGCAGTCCTTGTCTGCTCTGGCCGGTGTCCCTTTTCAATGGTGCCCAGCCAACGTGTTTCTTTGGCAGCCTGGTTTCCTTTGACTGCAAACTCTTCCCAATGTAATTGCTTCGTCCGGTGAATTTCCCCCACAAGACCTGGCCAAAGGAAGTGAGGTGCCGTTCTGCAGTTTTGCCTTCCAGGGACAGGTCTGGCATGTGATGCGCTCCGGTGTTTGTTAGTCTCTTTTGCTGTCCAAAGAGCACGCAGGGCGCCTTCTCCAGCACCATAGGCTCCAACGAATCCATTTTCCTCCTGCCCTGCTTTCTTAAGGCCGAACTTTCACAACCACAGGGAGCTACGGGGGACACAACGGAGCAGACTAACCTACATTCAGTGGCCAGTTGCTCCTAGCTTGACTGCCTTAAATACAATGAGCTGCATGCACCAAAATTTCATTTTAATGTATGCTAATTAGTGTACATTCAAAGTGACAATAAAGCTATTGTCAACTATAAAACGTGCATATAAAATGTTTTATGAGTTCTGTTCTGTTCTAATATTCTATTCTATACTGTACTATACTATACTATTCTAATTCTATTCTAATTCTAATCCATTCCATTCTATTCCATTCCAATTCTATTTCTGTTCTTAATAATCTACTTCTATTCTATTCTAATATTCTATTCTTATTCTTATTCCTATTCTATTCTAATATTCTATTTCTATTTTATTCTAATATTCTATTTCTATTTTGTTCCATTCTATTTTTATTCTAATATTCTTTTGTATCCTATCCTATCCTGCATTCTATCCTGCATTCTGTTCTGTTCTCTTCTACTCTATTGTTATTCCCTTCTATCCCTTATTATATCCTATTCCTATTTTCACAAACGTAAGTTAGCACACACCGCTCAGCGTGCCA